CCAACCTGGAGGGACAGGTCCTCGTACTTACATCCTCCAAGAACAGGGTGGCCCAGTTGTACCCCAGGCACTGTTTTCCCTTTTCGTCGCCTCCTACGAGTCGCAGGGCTGCGGTAGATGTATTCGACCCCACCTCCACTCGGGCTAGTTTACACCTTGTCCTCGTTATATAGCCCCGGCATGTATGTACAGAAAATCTTCCTCCTTTATTACGTGTTCTCTCGTTTCTGAGGAAACTTGTCCCACAGAGCTGTTCCCTAGCAGCGGCTGTTGAATGAGTACTAGGAATTCCTAGGGGTAAAGTGCGGCTGGAGCGTAATGCTGTCAGGGAGCCTCGATGTCTCACAACCCTTACGACCCTCACGGCCTGTCACAAGGATATATTTTATGGCGAAATTTGCTTGGAGCGTCTGAGGGAAACCACGAAGGACCTCAGTCATCGTAGGTGATATACCGGCCGAGATTCGAAACGGGGAGCTCCCGATAGAGCAGCAGGCGTGAAGAAGCGTGTTCTGACTGTTCTAGGAATGTGGCAGTGATGTTATTAGAACGGGTAGTAGTGCTGTGTCGTGACGTCATGACGTAGATGTGTCGCGACAGCTGTGGCTGTACAGATCCTCAACGAAATGTTTACCAAATACAGTCAGCAGTTAAACAGACGTGTTACCCACAACAAACGTTTAAATGTCGGATTGTTTAGTAAGCACAACTGTGGGATAACTGACATGGATGAGCTGCCTGCGGACATTCAACATCGCGAAATTGCATCTGCACTGCTGTAACTGTCTCCTTCCTTTTACTAGCCCACGAGCTGCGACGTTTCGTGAGTACAGAGCTGCCTGCTTTCCCAGAATCACTGTAAGCTATGTCCACGTCATCATCAGGGATAGTGACGTAATCGCTACGTCATCGTAGAAAGTTACTGTATCATGCTTTCAGCATAAAGTGTGAACCAGAATCACCATACTGAATGCCTTGGAGAGCACACATGACGTTTCGTCCCTAAGGTTGCCCACTCAAGCTAGGACGTACAGTGAGAAACGTATGAACAAAGGATATGCATTCTTCCACAGGTCCTTTGTGATTTACTGGAAGAACCTACAAGATTTCGTATGATATGTCCTGGCCTAATTACGGTACTTGCGGTTTGCGGGGTAACCAGGCGCAATCCTTTCCGAGGATTAATAAGTTCGGTTATTTCACGGGAATACTGCCCACACTGCACCGATACCCAGAAGGAAATGTGAAGTTCCGTCTGTCATCTCACGTTCCTGCCTGTGATGCCGTGTAGCTTGGTAGAGGGGTACTCTCACCTTGAAGATAGAAGCATGAGGTTCCCTCGAGTATTCCGTGTACTTTATCCCAACCACACGGCGTCACAGCCCAGACGATATACAGGGTGTTCCAGGAGAAAAAATTAGTATTCTGGGAGGTCACAGTATCGGTCACTCTCAGCAGGAAAGTGTATATGTACATGTGTTTTATTCTGAACGGTTCCCGAGATAGAGCAGTTTCACTGTACAGACGAGCAACACGCCATGTCCTCACACGAGTCGCGAAGTGCATTGGTGTTGACGGTGGATTTTTCGAAATGTATTATAGTAGGTATACTGTACCAACTTTGTCACTTGAACAGTAAATACCGGTATTATAAGCATTACTTGATATCTCTTTGTTATGAGCAATTTTGGAACTGTACAGTGAAATAGTTCTCTGCGAAACCGTTCGGAACAGGACACGTGTACATACACCTTGCTTAGAATGACCGATACTGTGACCTCCCAGAATATTGACCTTTCTTCCTGGGACACCCTGTATATTCACCGACGTGAGAGCAGCAAATCTAGCCGCGTGGTAGAAACAGGGTTGTAAGAAGTAAGAGCTTCAGGCCTGATGTTTCTACTAGTTTCAGTAGTGTTTCCACCTCTGGCGGATTGTTGGTATCAGTGAACCGTTTTCTTATCTCCTGTCCGGTCTCTCTCGAGATGAAAGAGGAGCCATAAATCAGTTTCCAGCCCGTGACCAGCGGAACCTGGGTCCGAGTGTACAGAGCAGGGCCACTGCTGTCGTCCTGAAGGGCTCTGTAAAATGGTATACTGGAACTGAGTGATATATTCCCCATGCCGGTAGTCGAACCCAGCACTCCCCGAAAATATATCAGAATGAATATACTCCGAAGATGAGCGTATATTTGAGGCAAGGCTTGCTTTGCTGAGCTCCACAATGTAATTGTAATGCATGTAAATTTACATCGTAACTGGCACAGGTCGTCTGCTTTACGTTCGTATTCCGCTACACTGACTGAGGTTTCTCGTGCTGTTCTCCAGTTCACTGGGCGGACTGAAGAAGCCCGCGAAACACCTGTAGTCAGGATAATCGGGCAGTCGATTAGGCAAACGCCGCTTTCTAACGCCTGCGTTCAGGTTCATCATTCCTACAAATCGACGCCGTACAGTGTGGCCAGTGCTACCGTTAGCTGTCCCTGTGCTTAACTCATGAAGCACTACGCCATGAAGGCGTATGGGGGACTGGATGTATAGATCCATGTTTTCTTCACTTCCACACTAGTCGCATTATGTCTATTAACAGGAGGTAAAACTTTACCTGTAAGAGGCCGTGGAGGCCTATAGGGTTGCGAGACGTCGAGGCTTCCACATTTTCTAGACAATCGGCTCATAGATGGCGGTGAGGCCATCCTTACGCGCCCGTCACCATTCACCCCCATGAAGATTCCAGGTACTCATTTCTGTTAGAGGCTGAGTGAACCCCTGGGTCATAGTGCGGCTGGCAGGGTTAGGTCAATTGAAGAAAATCCAGTGACTTTGGGAATCGGACCCGCGACCTTCCGGCTTGTAGCATAGTGCCTCAAACAACTACGCGTGTCTCCTCACGTCTGTAGTTCGCTGCTTATTTATATACAGCATTTTGAAAGGAACAACCTCGCGGTTGAGTGGTTAGTGCTCGTACTCTGTATCTGTGAGGTCTGGAGTTCGAAATTCGTCCCCCATAGACTCATTGTCTTCACTTGTAGGTCTGTGATTTTACTGAGTACCCAAATCTAACAATATGACGACTTACATGCGCTCCGACATTGCCCAGTTCACAGTCAGAATGTCTGTTCTGTTCCTCTGCGCATGCGTCATTGGCTACACACTTCACCGTCGAGTGGTATAGATGATGGATGAATTGTAAAGGGTCTGGAAGGAAGCATCGTGACCTGATCGAGGTATTATCCTGGAATGTGTCCAGAGAGAATGATGAAAAGCCACGACAAACCTCAGCGAGGATCGCCGGTACCTCAGGCGAGATTCGAATCAAGTAAAAATGTACAGCATTACTGCTGCGCCAGTCCGTTCATGCAATATTGTTGTTACTTTTGTGGTAATTGTCACCAGTTGACGATGAGGAAGAAATACAGTTCGTATTCAAGTTTCTGTGTACATGCTATGCTTCTCTGACGTTAGTGTTATCCTAGTTTTTTTAATATCCCTGGCAGAGGTCGTTTGGCGGGTCACCCTCAAAGCCAGTTGTTTATTTGTTTATGGGCGAAATTGACGAAGTGTGACGTAAACATCATTAAAATAACAACAACATATCAGCATTGCTGAACTGTATAAATCATTACAACTTTTTTATAATCTATAAACAGCGACCCTAGGATGTGGGCTGCAGAGATCTCGGTTTGCCTGTTCTCATGTTGCCAGATTCTTTCTGACATCCAACAGCGTACGTTTTTATATCCCTTATTCGCGCACCCCGGGGGGGGGGCGCATTTAAAAGAAAAATAACTCTATATCACCGTCCTTTGTAATGTGACAAGTGTTTCGGAGGAACGTGTTGCCTCCATATTGAGGATAAACGATTGGATATCAAATCATTTATGAAGTCTGCTTTAAAACGGGAGTTTTTACTCGAAAAATAAATTTATCTGGGTTGTAATACCGTGTAGTTCGGAGATATATATCGTCTCCATTTTCAAAATCGAAGCAAGTAAGAAATAAGCAAAAGTAGGTTTGCAAGATGAGCTCTGATTCCACCTAGAAGACGGAGGCAGTGTGTTCCTCCGAAACGTCGGGCTGTCTCCGAACTACGAGGCATTGTAAACCCAGAAGACCGCATCTGCTGTCAGGATCACCGCCGTGATAACCCCAAACCCAACAATGTGTGCCTGTTGCTTGGAGTCAGCTTAAGGACGAGTGTGTCGTGGAGTCAGGTACCCTTGGTGTGCCCGTTATGTTGCTTGGAGTCAGCTTAAGAACGAGTGTGTCGTGGAGTCAGGTACCCTTGGTGTGCCCGTTATGTTGCTTGGAGTCAGCTTAAGGACGAGTGTGTCGTGGTGTCAGGTACCCTTTGTGTGCCTGTCATGTTGCTTGGAGTCACTCAGCTTAAGGACGAGTGTGTCGTGAAGTCAGGTACCCTTGGTGTGCCTGTCATGTTGCTTGGAGTCAGCTTAAGAACGAGTGTGTCGTGAAGTCAGGTACCCTTGGTGTGCCTGTCATGCTTTAAGGACTAGGATGAAGCCGGTATGTAGATTTTCTCGGAAATGCCTCTCGGTTTCATTCCCATTCCAGTAAGAGGCGGGTGGCACGCGACTGCTGCAACGTGAGGCGTTTAGTGCCTGCCGCACAGGAATTTTCTTTCATTTGACATGCGAGGCAAATGGGCCTATTGCATAGTTTCTCAAGCTGTAGGTCGTGACCCAACGCGGGCCGCCGTGTTATCAAGCATTATTTGCAGTACAGTTGTATTCAAGCAGAGTTTTGCCAAGTCAGTAAAATTTAATATAAATGCTTTCGGGAAATGTAGCTGCAGCTGGCGAAACACTTCCCGAAATTTCCTGTGACTCTACATGAACGCAACTGTAGATGTAGAGAGAAAATACAGTTGCCTGAGGGCTTACTATCACTGTACAGCCTGAAAATGGTGAATATTGTTGGAAAGAAATTTCAAGTAAGTGGGGATTTATGAAGATGTTGCTGCGAGTTGTGTCATTGTTGCAGGACGTGGACGCTACGGCTGGGTTGACTCTGAAGGTGAAGCAGGAACCATTCTCAGCCTCCGGTGAACTGATTCGCGGTAAGTACAGACCGTTTTTGTATCTGTCTTCCGGGTTTCGCCAAAAATGGAGGGGCAGTAGTTGCATCTGCATTGTGGAAAGAAGGAAGGGTGACGCATATTAACTAAGGCACTCTTATAATCCGTACGGACCCTACAGCCATTACTTCAGTGGACTGGACCAAATCCACTGCGCATTCTGTTGCGCACGGCCAGTAGCCAACATGTCTGTTGCTGCCTTACTGTTCCACATGATGAGAAGCACCGGCGTTCTGAGTAGTAAGAAACATGAAAAACAACAAAATTTCCTTATCTGGCACGAGTATGCCTGGCTATAGCGCTCTCAGCCCAAATTTGATTCGAATCCCTGCGAGATTGTTGGCCACTGTCATGGGGCCCTTCGTCCTTGCCTTTAAGTCTGGGTACTGCCTTGAAATATCCCACGACCGCTTCCACCAAAGCCATATCTGCTGCCCATTCAAAGTAATTTTAATTATTAAGTCATTCGGTGCCATGTGCCCCCTCTGCAGTTGAGGTCTTCCTGTTTGTGGCTCGGGTCACGGCTCTGCCACTGTGAAAATATGCAGCATCTGATGGTAGCTTGATTGATGAATTCAGAGGACTCGGAAGGGAGGGTTTTCTTGGAGGGACTGAAGACACCACGGAAATCCTGGGACAAGATAGCCTTCCGGAACTCCTTGTCTTGTTGCGTTCTTGAGGTTCGGTTGGAAGAGAAAGGGCGGTAAAGTTTACCCTGTGCCGATTGGAGGCATCATCCTGTTCCGTGGCTCTCACTCGGAGCACAGGGCATCTGAAACGCTTCTTTTCCCTTCAGTTTCTTCATCTAACACAGCCGGTAGGACTCCTTGGGCGGGGGATCAGCGCATCGCAAGGCCGCTACCTACACAGGACAAGACAGATTAAAAACATCCATGCCTTGAGTAGGATTTGAACCCACAGATATTTCATACGTTAGACCGCGCGGCCACTGTGATCGAAAATTGGAGGTATACCTCCAGGAATTCTTATGCTCAGTATAAGGGTGGAGGTGAGTGGCGAGTTTCATGTTCCGGCCGTTTTACCGCCGAGGAAGGAGACCTGCACTGTACAGGAGGCTGGTATGGGCCGCAGAGGCATTGCTGAATGCTGTGGAGAAAAGAACCAACGGAGCCTGCAGCCGAGAGCGTGGCCAGTAACTCTGGAGGCCAACTCCAGCGATACCTGCCTGCCATGTTGAAGAGAGGAACAATGTCGCAAGTGTTGCCGCGGACAGCAGCACTCAGCGCAAGTATTTGGGTCGGGTTGCCGCATCTGCTGTCGCAGCACAATCTAGGCGTTATGCAATACGCGACACAAGACTCGCGGTCGCAGTTGCTGAAGTGACGTGTCCATACTTTCGATCCATCTCCACGTTGGATTCTGTTCTGTTAAGTCTGAAAATGTTCGCAAGGATTATTAAAAATATACGTTTTATCCACGCACTTGCTTTGCAGGTCAGTGTGGCAGATTTAATACACTATAATTGCTTTCGGAGAATGTATTTCCAGCCGGAAAAACGCCGTATTTTCTGATGAGTGTACAGGAGCATGTTACCTCTGAAAATGGGAGTACTGGAAGAAACATAGAAATCTGCCACATGATGAACTGTTACTGGGGGTTAAACGTCAGACCGATCCCTGGATTCTTTATAATTGGCTAATAAACTTTCCCGCACAGAAGCTGTTCGGACCAGTTGGCCAGGTCACGCCGTACTCTGAACAGACAGCAGCTTTTCAGGCGCTGTGATTACGCTGTGTAGCGTTGCGTAATGAGATAAGCAGTGAACTGCAATATGAAGAGGGAAACGATCGCTGATGTTCCGGGCTCTGGAAATTCGTGAATAACTCGAAGAAGACAAAGTGTCTGTGGGTCGAAACCTCAAGTAGTGGGTCTGGAACGTGGTTCAGTCAGCCTCAGGAGGATAATTGAGGAGCTCTTTCAAGGAAATAGCGGCTCAGGTCTAAGAAAACCGAGATTAACGTCCTTGGGGAGCCGTCGCGCTGACCACGCAACACCCTCTAATCGCAAAAAGTTGGCACTAACTTCGCCAAGAAGCGGTGCTCGCTCGGTCGGTATAGTTCACTTGTGGACTGCAAGCCATGAAGTTTGCTTTTGTGCTTGTTTTGGGTCGAAACGTCGGGAATGTGTAGTAGGAGTGTCATATACTTGAGCTTAATGTTCAAGTGGTTTGGGGCGTTACTGCCCTTAGCGGAGACCTCCGCGTTTAACACGCTTATACGCAGGTCAGCCTCGTCAAATGAGCTGGCCAATTTGTTGGCCAACATGCCTTCCACAATGCCGGACAATCTGTTGCCTGCTGTGTTGTTTTCAAGAGCACCCACGTGTGGCGTCTCGCGTTTCCATGGAGATAACATGCAGTCAGCTGTTACATGCTGAGGATGCACGTTACAGCCTTTCGGGTCCTGTGATGCCTGTGTTCATGCCCAGGCATCACCTCCCGGGACGTGATTCCTGATACTGTTGGGTAGGACGCTCGGGTGGTCACTGGAGCCAGTCTGTACGCGGCAGCAAGGCCTAACATTCCTGCCACTGACACGAACCCCAGTACGTTTACTGAATGAGCTACATAGAATTACTATTATGATTACTCTGCGGTCTAATGGTCAGAGTTCCTGGCTATAGAGCTAGAGGTCCCGGGTTCGATTCCGGCGCTACCAGATTTTCTGAGAAGTAGTGGGTCTGGAACGGGGTCCACTCAGCCTCGTGAGGATAATTGAGAACCTATTTCAAGGAACTATCGGATCCGGTCTAGGAAACCGAAATTAACGGCCGTGGGGATTCGTTGCGCTGACCACGTGATACCTTCTATCCTCAAAAGTTGCCACTAACTTCGCCGACAAGAGGTGGTCGCTCGGTCGGTATAGTTCGCTTGCGGGCTACAGGCCACGGAGTTCTTTTTGGTATTATCATTATCATACTTTCTGGGGTGCTATGGTAGCGTAGTTGGTTGAGGCCCCATGCTATAAGCGGAAGGTTGCGGGTTCGATTCCCGATGAGGTTATTTAGTTTTTCAGCTGGCCTAATCCTTCCAGCCGCTCTGTGGCCCTGGGATCGACTCGGCCTCTAACAGAAATGAGTACCAGGAATTTTACTATGGGGTAAAAGGCAGCCGGCGCGTGAGGCTGACCTGGCCGCCACCTGTGAGCCGATTTTCTAGAAAATGTGGGAGCCTCGACGTCTCACAACCCCATGGACTTCAACGGCCTGTTACAGGAATAGCTTTGCCATGTTTACATTTTGATACCTTGACGTTGCCATTATTGGGTCACAGCTTGATTGTGCTTCGGGTGCCTGAAATAAGGTTACGTTGGGCGATTCAAATTAACCTCAAAATACACAAGAAAAATGTTGCAAATGTATGCTACACTCGATTCTACGGATTATGAAGGCTGCTCATACAGTAGTATGCTTCTTTATAATGCAGGTAAGGGGGGGGGAACAGCCACCATAAATACAGTTAGCCTTCGTCTACGCATTGAATTAATTAAGGACTTCCCCATTTTTATTATCGTAATGGCAAGACCTTCGGCCAGGTGTACCACCGTTGTTAAAAATACCTCTTATTCCCTGGAGGACACATTTCCTTTGTATTCTCATATTTACTGTCCTCTGGTATGGCGCATTGTACGTGTTTGTGATACGCCACTGCTGTTGGCAGGCACTCTAATAACTGAATTGAATTATCGTCTCGTGGCTGCGATGCTGAACGTGTGAGTCTCCAGAGGTCTGGGTGAGGCTGAGTCTCGTTTGACGAGAGGAGGCCATTGTTGCTGCAGACAGCCATGAGCTATGGAGATGCTAATGGCTCTGCTAATGGGAGGCAGACGTGCTGTGCTGTAGCCTCGCCTCCCGGCACGTCCCGACGCACACAGATGTATGTGGCACTCCGCCCACTGTGGCGGGGCAACTGGGCACCACGCCACGGAAATGTAGCAGGGTGCTTGCATTAATAGCGACAACGTTCGACCGTCCTTACCCTCACGAAAGAGTTGTTTTATCCTTTTTATTATTGTCACTTAAGCACGTTACGAAAACGCAGAGGGGGAGTGGAGGTAAAGCCCCACGCGTTTATAGCGAGACAGTTCGACCGTCTTACCCTCAGGAAAGAAATGTATTAACCTTTACTAGGCGACTAAGCTCGACGCCAGGAAGATGTAGCAGGGGAATGGAGGTAAAGCATTGCAGACTTGTGGTCCAAACAGTAATTGAAAGCCTATAGATTTTCGCTCCGGCAGTCTTGACAATCTAATATAAGTCCGCTTTGCTCATTATAGGCGTAGCTGCGACCGAGCACTGTACCACATGTGAGGCAGTGTAAGTGCAAGTTGGCGATCTGTGCCCCAGACAGAAGCTGTTCCGGCCGCCTTCCTGCCTTACTGCCCTGACAGCCGTTTCGAAATGTTGCTACGCAGACTTGAGGCTGTGGCAGCGGCATCTCTGCCGAGAATATTGTCGCGAACATCCTAGCTTGTTGCAACTTTCTTTCTTTTTAGTTTCTTGGGGTGCGGTGAGAGTTACTCCACTTGGTTCGTCGGCCACCAATTGGCCTCTTGTACCAGCCCCGGATGATAAATGATGAGTGTGGATTAATCGGTGGAATGAGAACTGGCAGGGGAAACCGAAGTACTCGGAAAAAACTTGCCCTAGTGCAACTTTGTCCACCACAAATCCCACCTCGTCTGGGCTCGAATCCGGGCCGCCGCTGTGCGAATTCGGCGACTAACCGCCTGAGCTGTGGCATGTCCAAGCTTGTAACTTCGGTGCTCCCACATCACGCCAGTATGACAATAGGTGCGCTCTACATGGCCACCCTCATGCCTCACGTGATAGTAACCTGCAGGCCCTAACAGTTGTCTCTACTGCATAGAGTCACGTGCACGAGGAAGCGCTGTAAGAGGGGAAGTGACCTGCAGGGTTTCCGACCTGTTCAGGCGCTATCCAGGGCCCCTGTACAGGAAAAA